CACGATGTGCTTCAACTATGTAGCCCAGGCTGGTCTTGAACTTGTAGCAGTCCTCCTGTCTCTGCCTCCCGAGTGCTGGATCTATAGGTTTACACAATCGGTTTTTACACATTTCTTTTGCCCTCCAGAAAGACTGTTAGTTTTACTTCCATGTTACACCCCTTTAAATATTTATTTTCCCTTCATCTATCTAGTGTATTCATTCTTTTTAGAATCTGTGCTCTGGTTCAGTGCAGTGATGGGACATCTTTTTGTTTTTGGTTTTTTGAGACAGGGTCTCACTATGTAGTTGAAACTGACCTGGAACTCACTATGTAGCTCAGGCTGGTCTCGAACTCACAGCGATCCTCCTGCCTCAGCCTCCCGAGTTCTGGGATTATAGGCGTGCGCCACCACACCTGGAGGGACATCTTTTGATAAACATACTGTGTCTTCATTTAGGCCCGTGAATTTTGTTCACTGTTTAATAGATATCTTGAACTGTTGCCAGAACCACAATGGCCAAATGAAATACCTAGTTTTCTGCCATCATCCAGTTTGCAGCTGACAAGAGATCCCTTCTTGTCTTTCACTTTATTTATCCATTTTTTCTTTTGCTTGCTCTCTCTCCCTTCCTTTCCTTCCTTTCCTCCCTCCTTCTTGTTCTTCTTTCTCTTTCTGTCTTTCCTTCTCTCTCTCTCTCTCTCTCTCTCTCTCTCTCTCTCTCTCTCTCTCTCTCTCACCAGGGATTGGACTCAGATCCTTGTATTGTCTTTCACTTTTAATGTTGATTTAAAGCAGTCTCAATTTATGGTGGCTTATGTAACTCTTTAGTTTTCTCTAAGTTATTCATGAACTTGTTTGGCATAATAGCCTGGTATGTTAAATATTCCTTTTGGCTTTCCATATTGTGTATTAATATTCTTTAATTTATCTGACATCTGTTTTGTAGAACTCATATTTTTTTCTAATAAATCCATCGAAAAAAGAAAGACTGTAGATTTTGCAGCCTGGGCATTGAACCTGTTTTTTGGGGGAGTTTCTTACCTCAAATCTATTTGTTTCTTGCCCCAAATACTTTGGACCTATGTCCATATTTTTGTGCCCAAAACAGATGTAACGGTGATGCTTACTTGCCTGCCCAAGGCCTAGTTAAGATCTACAAAGGATTTCTAAGGGTTGTACATGTGCTGTCTTGGTAGGACTGTACTCAGCTTCCTTCCTTTTGTCACTTGTCGTCTTCTTCCAGGCTCCTATCCTGTATCCTTAAAATAAATGGGAAAAGGTTTAACTCTCCATCATGTGTTTGGAGGAATGGAAAATTGTGGTCATGAAGACTGTTTTGTTTTGATCTTCTTTGATGCCTGAAATTTTTTTCACTGAGAGTTATTCCTGTTTGCTGAAAGTATTGTTATTTCTCAAAATTAAAAAATCAGATTTGTTATGGATGATACAGTAATTCATAATTTTGAGCAGATTGTTTTAGTTAAGATTGGAAATCAGACTAATATTTTTGAAAAAAATTAACTTAAAGCTATAGCCCATATTCATTGTTGAATAAATAGAAAACATTAACAAAAAGTGATTTAGAGGCTCTCTTAGTTATTTCTCATTGCTGAGACAAAATACCAGGTACCTCAAATTAAAGGAGAAAAGGTTTACTGTAGCTCAGTTTGTAGAGGTTTCAGTTAATAATTGGTTGGCTGCAAGGCAAGGTGGCATTGCCGAGGAGAAACAGTTCATCGTGGGCAGAAGACAGCAAAGCAGTGAAGTAGTGAAGCAGCAGCAGCAAGTGACAACAGCAGCTCTTCTTTCTGTCCTTTGTATTCTTTTTTTTTGGTACCAGGGATCGAACTTGTGACCCTGCACTTGTGAGGCAGGCAGCAGAACCACTGAACTAAATCCCCAGCCTCTGTCATTTATATTCTATCCAGGCTGTCCACCCTAGGGCAGATAGCTCTCACGCCCAGGGTAGGGCCACCTTAATCCTAGCATCGTACCTTGAATCAATCCCAGCATCACATCCTCTAGATCCAGCCACCTCTGAAAAGCTCCACCTATGATAGCATGAGGCTTTGGGGGGACATCTAGACACAGCCCTAACAAGTTGTTCACTATAAACACTTGCATTTTAACAGATTTTATACTTCATATATTCTAATCGTTTCAGGCTGTCATACTCTATAACTTGTTTTTCTCACTAATAATAGTTTTGAGCACCTATAAGGAGTATATTAACTTATTTTACTTCTCTATATCATCAGTACTTAAGTGGTTTGATATTCCATATGACATCCTACATAGCATGTTTTTGCAGTAATTTTTGAATGTCTAGTCACAAAAATAAAGAATTCTGGCATTGTTTGTCCTCATATGGTTACAGATGTACTGAAATTTTCCTAATCCTCTTCTGTTAGAAGTGAAATAATTTTTTTTGCTATTACAAGTAACATTTTGATTAGTTATGCATATAGCTCTTATTTACTTTTCTCTTAATTTCTTTAGAATAAATTCTTAGAATTGGAATATCTGTGTTAAATATACTTTTAAAGAGTTGTGACATATATATTGTCAAGTTGCTATTCAGGAACTACAGTAACTATACTGTGTTACTCTGTGTTCTCACCATCAGTGAGCAAGCATACCTATTTGCCTGTTAGATACTCTCCCTTCCCAGCTGTGTTTGATATCTACTATGATGTCAGTGGTCCATGTCTCTAGAATTTTGTCTTTGCATCTTGGCTTATGCTGTCTTCTCTTCCTCTTCAGCCTGCTCTTCTTTCACTGGGGATCAAACCCAGAGCCTTGACACACTAGGCAGGTGCCCTGTCAATGAGCTTTACCCTCAACCACTCATGTCTGTTCTTTTTGGAAAGACATTTTCCTTCTTGCTTGGCTGATTGTACTTGTTCTTTAAGACTATAAGGCTGGAAGATTTATAGAAATTCATATTTCTATGATTATTACTTGATCAAGGACTTTTTTTTTCTTGAGTCAGGGTCTCACTGTGTAGTTCAGGCTGGCATTGAACATTCAGCAACCCTCCTGACTCAGCCTCCTGAGTGCTGGGATTATAGGTGTGTGCCACAATGCCTGGCTAAGGACGTTCTTTTTATGGGACATTGATATTTATGATATTTATATTTATAATATATTTATAAATATATTTATATTATAAGGAAATCCTGACCTGGGACATAACATTTTTAACCCCAGTTTTGCCTTTTGTCTCAGATCAGGGAGGACTTTCCTAAGTGACTACTAGCTGAAATCACAAAATTCTGAGCCCTCTTTCCTCCATGGCCTGTCTTTTAAGGTTAAATTTCATTCTGATGAATTTCTTTGTGGGCAAAGTGAGAGTGGCGGAAGAGGGAGGGAGTGTAGTTCGATTGTAATTCTGCTGCCAAATCGATTGGCAAAGGGAGGGCTTAACAAGAAGGGTGTATTGAGGTGCTCAGTAAATTCTGAATGACTGAGCCACGTGGAAGCTCTGGAAAACCCCCACGTGTGGCACTAAGGACCGATGCTAACTCGACCAGAACTGTACAGCTCTGGTGTGAAGGGAAAGGAAGCTATTCAAATAAAGAAGAGATGCAGCATGAAGTTGAGACTACTTTTCTGCCTTGGGGATTTGATCAGCCATAATTGAGAAATTATCTGGGGTTATTTATTTATCTATTTATTTTTGTACTGGGGATCAAACTCGGGACCTTGCGCTTGTGAAGCAGGTGGCGGAACCACTGAGCTAAATCCCTGGCCCCTCTGGGAATTTAAACTACAGTTCTAATCTGCCAACATCATTATTATAAGCACAACTGAGTGCTTGCTACAGAACTATCCCCAGTCTTATAATACCAGCTGATACTGATGCATTTTAAGAATGGGGAAAAGATGTCAGTAGAATAACATTGTTAATCCTTATGCAGTATTTTCTAGCTTGGGAGAGCTGAGATAAGAGGGTAGAAGGATAAACTGTAGATGGAGAGAAGCAAATCGTGAACTCTGCTACAGAGGTAGCAGGAGCCTTTCCAGCAGTATTTTAAGCAAATTAGAAATGAGCACCTGCATCCAGGGCTCCCTCTCTGCAGCAGAGCATCTGTGCTTTACCTGGATGTCACAGTGGTAGGCTTCTGCCTCTGATCCTCTTCGCGGCACTGTCTCTCCCTGTTCTGTTGTTGTGCTGTGTCAACATCCTCTGAGACAGCCTTAAAACACCTGAGATGTTTGCCTGGTCACACAGATTATCTCCCCAGGTACCAGTTATTGTTTTTATTACTTCTCCAGTTAAACACTTAAATGGGTTGTGAGTGTTTGGCTCTTTTCCCACCCCCATCCTTGTTATTTTTAATGTGAGGTGTTTTCAGAAATGCACACATTTCATGTGAGCAGAAAATGCCTGTATTTCCTTCTTGTTTTTTTCCAAAGAACATTTTAATCCATTATTATTTTTAAATGTGAACTCCAACTTTTTATAAATTGTGCTAGTTTTTAGAATTTAATTTCTTGAATTCATTCTGAGTCCTTGAAATGTTTGCTCTGCTCATTGTTTCATTGCTCTCCTCTGCTCTCCATCCTTTCTGTGATAAACTCTCCGCTGCTCCCTTTAGTTTTTTTGTGCATTTAATTTGTGTGCAAGGTTAGGAAAGTCTTTGACATTTGAGAGTGCTTATGAGTCTTCCATTAGAAGCACAGATTTAATGTAAGAACCCCCCCCCCCCCCCAACTTGGGACCTTGTGCTTGTGAGGCAGGAGGCAGCACCACTGAACTAAATCCCTGGTTCTTAGTTGAAGAGCTTTTGTCTTTTAATATGAAGGATATTTCCTATATATTTTGGTAAAAATCAAGAGCATTAGAAAAGTTTTTGTTGCTGTAAATATATAAAAGTATAATAACTTGGTTAATATCATTTAAGCATGCATGTATTATGTCTCACATAATTTGTAAGCACATTTGTATTTATATAAAATGAACACATTTATGATTTTGACTATATATAATGCTGATTTTATTTTTTTCCCAGGAGGATCAGGATGGGAGTCAAGGCCTGGGCAAGAGAAAGAGGGTAAAACTAAGCAGTGGTACCAAAGGTATTTATATTTTGCTTTTTTCCTTTTAGCAGAATGCTTTAAAAAATGTTATTCACTAAGAATACTTGATTGACTAGCTATCACAGCTTTTTGATGAGAGAGTTATGTTGTTAGATTTATCTAATAATGGAGAAAGTATGGTTAGGAGGTGGTTGTGAGGACCTCAAAAGCAAGGAAAATTTTTATTATTGGGATTTTGTTCATTGCTTTTTCATTTGTGAAATGGGCACTATTTATATTTGAACCAGAATTTCTGAGTCTTTTCATTTGATTGACTTATATATCTGTTGTTTTTGATGTAAAGTTTTAGTTTGCTTTATGTCCCTTTATAATCTGGGACATGCAATTTTTAGAGTAAAAAGGAACATGGGAGAGAAAGTGGGGAGAGAGACAGACATTACAGGAATGAGGGAATAGCACTTAACACATAATAAGGGCTCATGAAGAACACATAGGTGCCTAGTGAAAGGAACAAGTAGAAATGCCTGTAGTAAAGGAATAGATTAGTAATCATAATGGGTCATATTTATTGAACTTTTTGTAGATTCTAAATATAAGGATGTACTTCCTTTCATTACTTAACAGAGTAACTATATGAGGCAGGCTTTATTCTTACCACTACCACTTTATGAAGGAGGAGGTGGAGGTATACCAGAGTTCACAGCTGATGAGAAGTAGATCCTTAATTCTAATCCAAGAACTTAAAAAACTCTTCACCACGGTTTTTCTTAACTCTCACTGAAAGCTTTTCTAGAGTACTTGTTATTAGTTGGCAGCCTGTGCTGTGGGTTTTGGCCATGGATTTCCAAATCTTAGCATGATCTGTTTTCTGGGTTAGTGTGGTCTGTCAGAGAGACTCTAAAGGTTAAAATATTCTGATGAAAAGAAAATTCTGCTAAAATTACATGTATCTTGTGGCATAGTAATATTGCCTGGAAAGAGAACATGCAGTCACTTACATTACAGGCTCTTTTCCTAAGTCTGTTCTTAGTTACTTAAGCTGCTACATTTAACCTGTGGTCTCAGTATGAAATTTGATCTTCCATCGAAGGTGGAAACATATATGAGTTTTGCTTCTTCCTAGCTCAGCAGAGAATCTGTGATGCCTAAAGTACATTAAAAACACGGCTGCCTGGCTCTTTGACTTGCCAGAGTTGTCCATGTAATAACCTGAGTCCTGTGACCGCTCTGAAATTGAAACAGATTGTCAGATATATACTTGAATTTATGCCAAAAACTGCTTGTTGTGATGTAGGAAGTCACTGTTTTCCTCAACCCTTGTCATACTCTGGCTGAGGATACTTTTTATGCAGTTAGCACTTTGCTTTAAATATATGCATGGAAGAAAAGGCTTTTTGAATAAGAACCTCAGGAGTTCTAGTAAGCTAGAGCTCCTGTAGAGCTTGGACCTGCTTCCTAATTAAAATTTTTTTCTTAGTCATGTATTTATACCACAGAGTGATTCTTTGAAAATCTTTTTTTTTATAATATGACTTTAGGTAGTTCAGGCATTGTTAGAAAGTCACAAGATTTTAAAGGCATATAGCCATACATAACTAATAGAAACATTTTTAAACACATAAATGCGACTCTCTTCCATCTTATTTTTATTACTTTTTGGCTTTGAATCTGTCAGTATATACCTGTGAATATATTTTGCTTCATTTTTGCAAGGTGAGTTTATTTATTTTTTAGCTTTTTTGGTATTGGGGATCGAACTCAGGACCTTACACTTGCAAGGCAGGTGGCTGAACCACTGAACTAAATCCCTGGCCCCTAGCTTAGTTTATTTTTAAATAATTGTCATGCCCCTGGAATGATCTGTTTCAGGGAGAAGAGATTTCTGTGTACAAGTAAAAATTCTGGGATTTGAAAATTATAGTACCTAATTTCCAATAAAGAGGTGAATAGCATAATTTCATTTACATATGAACCCCTATTACATGGTACTTATACTGATGGTACCACAGAGCTTAGGAGATATTTTTTCCTTTTTATAGTAAAAAATCATAGACTTTCCAGAACATATAGGACTTTTGGGAGTCATTTTCTTTTTTAGCTATTAATGAAAAAATGGGGTTAAAATTAATAAGAACCAAGTCAAGCTTTAGCAAACTGTTTTATAAATTAATCAAGATGAGGACAAACTTATTTTGTACCTGTTACTTGAGGTTATGTGGATTGAATTCATTGTGTGATAATAGAATTGTAAACTGGGGGAAGATTAATAGAAGATACTGCTGGAGCTGTAGTGAGTATGCTGATGTGTGTGACTGTTTTTTTCAACTTTCTTATCTAACTGTACCCTTTGTCTATGCAGTGTTACTGAGCCAGGCTATTCACAGTTGATATTTGCTATGTCCTTAATAACCTTGTGTCATTTTCAAAGAAAAAAAATAGAGAAATAATCAACCAGTGAGAGACACAGATAGCAGAAGTATTAAGAATATCTAGTTTTTCATATACTTGTTGAGACTTTCTGTGACTAAACATGGAGAGGATGCAGAGATTTGCAAGACAGCCTAGCCTTCAAAAAAGTGATTTTGGCTTTAGAAATAAGGCTTGTACTAGGTAATGCTTTCCTCTTGGATTATTTATTCAAGAGGGGCATCACTTCCCCTTTTCTCTAGGCATGCATAAATAAGGTTTCTTGAGCCCAGAGCGTAATAAGCATAATTAAAACTATACTTTTTTCAGGTAAATTTTTACTCAAAGTAATATACATTGTTAAGAATACACTAGTGATTTTCCCTAGTGAAGTTAGTATCTCATTTGTAAAGGCTAATTTTAAAGAAATGGAAACTTATTGAAACCTATAAATATTTGTCCTTTTCCCTAGAAATTAGAAATTTGAAATTAAATAATTTTGGATATTTTTATGTACTTAATAATATTTATATTTAACTTAAAATTCTTAAAATTTTTATGTAACTGCATTATATTAAAATGGAAGGATTAAATGTTTTATATATCATAGAAATTTTAGAAATTTAACTAGTCGATATTACTGTGTTGTTGGAAGGGTATCCTTAAGTTTTAGATGTTTTATTGCCTTAACAATTATAATGAGGTTTAAATGAAATGAGTAGCTGAAATAATTACATGATAAATTTTCTTTTCAGATCAATCCATAATGGATGTTTTAAAACATAAAAGTTTTCTAGAAGAATTATTGTTTTGGACAATAAAGTATGAATTCCCTCAGAAGATGGTAACTTTCTTACTCAACATGCTTCCAGACCAAGAATATAAGGTATCTGTGTTTCTTCTTTCCTTTTGAACTTCCCTTTCTTTGCTTCTTCATTATATGTTTTTCGTATGTTTCTCAGATGAGGCTTATTTTGTAGTACATCTGAGGTTGATATAACACGATGAGAGAAGATTAGCTCATCCTCTTGCTAACACAGATCTGCACAGTTGCGCTACTTTATTTCTGTGGCAAAACAACATTACAAGTTGTCAAGGGAATGCTGAGGGACAAATGTTTAATTGCAGAAATGAATTTTTAACTACAAATTGTTGTAAGTTCTCTGAAGGAGAAGCAGAGGGTACTATAATAATGTTTAAAAGGACAAGTGAAGTTAGATTGTGGAGTTAGCATGGGAAAAACATGGGCTTAATAATAGTTGCCACAGTTGTGTGAGAGAGTGATTATGACTCAGGTACAAATGCAGGAAATTGAACTTTCTAGTCCCCGATTTTCTGGACCCAGCTGCTAGCACCATATAGTTAGTTATGGCAAAGTGACAGACCTCAGTTTATGAAAAGAACCTTAGGGTTTAGATTAGGAGTGCCACTTTAATAGTCCCATTGTTTTGTGTGTCTTTACATCTGCTAATAAAATACACCAGGAGGACTGGGGATTTAGCTCTAGTTCCACCACCTGCTTTGCAAGCTCAGGGTCTTGAGTTCAATCCCTGGTAACTAAAACAAAAACAAACAAACAAAAAAACCCCAGGGAGAATGTACATGTTACAAAGAAAGAAAATAAGAGTGAATATAAGATACTTCAGCGCATTTAGTCTGATTATTAATCAGTTTTCAGGTCAAACAGAAGTTATTTCTTAAGAGGTCATCACAAATACTTTGATGGTGTGTAGTGTCTAGGTTTTGTTGCTAAAGTAGGTAGCACAAGAAAAGACACATACATTAACATTCGTTAATTGATACATTTGTAAGCAAAGTGAACTGTTACAATCTTGAACCACACTATTTCACTTGGGAGGTTGAGGCAGGAGGATTGCTTTGTGTTTGAGGCCATAGTGAGATTAAGGGCAGCCTGGACTATATAGTGAGACCCTGTCTCAAGAAAACAGAAACAAGCAAAAAAGCACCACATTGTTTGTAATTGCTTTAAAACCCTAAAAAATTTAAAATTCCTATTGAAATTTAAAAAACATCATCTAAGTTTTTGCTTATGTCCCCAAAAAAGATAAAATATGACTTAAAACTACCATCATTGTTGAATTGTTCTTTCATTTACCTTGGGCATCATCACAAGCTAGTAATTGCTTTAAACTGCTGATGTAATACATCAAAAAATATTTAAAATTCAAAGTCAATGTGTTTTTTTCCTTATTTAAAAATTTTTACAGGTTGCTTTTACAAAGACTTTTGTTCAGCATTATGCTTTCATTATGAAAACACTGAAGAAAAGTCATGAATCGGACACAATGTCCAACAGAATTGTGCATATTAGTGTTCAGTTGTTCAGCAATGAGGAGCTAGCCAGACAGGTGACAGAAGAGTGTCAGCTGCTGGATATTATGGTCACTGTACTATTATATATGATGGAAAGTTGCCTTATTAAAAGTGAACTGCAAGGTAAGCTCTGAATTACTGTTATTGGTTCTGTTATTCATGTATTTGTGTGTGTGTATCCTAAAACATCTATATTATAAATAATTTTAAAATATTGTAAAAATAATACAGTAAGTACTTGCAAAATAAATTTTTGAACATTTCTAGTGAAGTTTAAAGGTAATGTTAAAATCATTTATAGTTTTATCATAAATAACCTGTTAGCACTTTATAATTTCATTCTTTTTTTTTGTTTTGTTTTTGTTTTGTTTGGTACCAGGGATTGAACTCTGGTCCTTGTGCTTACAAGGCAGGCCACCAAACCACTGAGCTAAATCCCCAGCCCAGCACTTTATAATTTCTATATTTTTATGTGAAATGATATGTATAGATAAAATATGATCTTAAAAAGTATTAACATGCGACTGAGTGTGTAGTTTGATGGTAAGAGTATTTGCTTAATATGCATAAACCCTGGGTTTGAGCCCAGGGTTCAAAAAGTGTTCAGAAAGAATTACCATATATGTACATGTCAATATGTATTTTGATAGTTGTTGAATTCATGTAGCCATTTCCTTATTAGACATGTTAGTAATTTTTAAATCATAATTTTGTTGCTGTATGCTTTAGATATTTTTATATGCTTATGCTTCTGTGATGTACACTTTTGAATAAATCTTGCCTTTTTTGTGTTGCCTTTGTGAAATTTTTATGTTCTTTTATGCCCACTATATGGTTGATATTCTGTGATTTATGGTGATATTTCTTTTCTTTTTCTTTTTTTGGTACTGGGGATCAAACTCAGGACCTTGTGCTTGTGAAGCAGGCATGGTGCTACTTAGTTAAATCCCTGGCCCTGTTATAACATTTCTATAACTCCTCCCAGATCTACTTTTCTGTGGTCTTTCTTCTTAATTTTCCTTAAATAATTTATATTATATAATTTGACTATTTTCTATGTACCAGACACTGTGGCAAATATTCATGTGTTTTCTCAATTAAACTTCTAAACATCTCTCTGAGATTAGCATTTGTTATCCTTGTTTTATTTCTTTAGTTAAAAATTTATTGGTGGTCTGGGGATTAAACTTAGGGGCATTCTACTGAGGTATGTTCTTCATCCTCTCACCCCTGTTTTTTTTTTTTTTCCCCTGTACTGAGAATTGAACCCAGGGTTTTTACAACAAGTTATAGTGCAAACTCTTTTTTTTTTTAAGGTCTTGGTATGTTTCTGTGTTGTCCAGGTTGAGCTGGAACTTGTGATGTTCCTGCCTTAGCCTCCCAGAGTGCTGGGTTACAGGTGTGTGCCACCACTCCTGGCTGCTTTTTGTTTTTCTATTTTGAGAAAGATCTTACTCAGTTGCCCAGGCTCTGCTCAAACTTATGATCCTCCTAACTCAGCCTCCTGAGCAGTGTGTGCCACGATGTCTGGTTACCCTCACTTTAAAAATGAATATATTGAGTCTTAGGAAATTTACGTCATTTGCTGTAGATTACAGAGCTAGTAAATGACAAGTTCAAGAGGGATTTCATGTTTCCTGGTGTCAGAGCCATTGTTCTTTATGGTAACACAGCCAGGTCCACATTGAAAGGACTATGCTTTCATTTACTTACCTGGAACTCAGTTTAAAAAATAAGTGAGTAATACCTCCAATTAAATCATAAAACCTTTTCATTCTCCAAGGAGAGATCTTAGAGTCGAGGCTTGCCTTGTTCCAGTACTATTTCCCTGTGCATATCAGCTCCTATATTCTCATTATTTTGATCGATGTGAAACCATATCCTGAAAATTGATATATTCTCATTGCAGAACATAATGCTTCAGCTATAGTGATAGCTCCTTTCTCTGTACTTTGTATACTTTATCTTATTTATCTATGATTAATTTTGTGAAGCAGATATTGTTGGCTCCATATTATAGATGAGGAAACTATTTCTTAGTTGAGGTTGTTGGTCTGGGGTTACAGCTAAGCAGTAAGGCTGAGTGTCTGAGTTCAAAACTGTATGCTTTCTTACCTGTTACGTGATTCTTTTTATTGTAGGTATAATGTGTTATTTACATTAAAGGATACACTTCTTTATTTTTTCTTTTATTTCTTTAGCTGCTTTGTACTATAGTTTTTTTTTAATGTAGCATTGTCTTTTCTTTCTTAGCTATTTTAACTACATATATTGCTTTTTAAAATTGAAATAGTGTCTACCGTCATTCAGGTATGTCAATGATTTTATATAGAATTTAGAGAGACTTTTCATACATATGGTATTTTTAATTCATATTCTAGAAGTCTTTTAAATATTTAAAAGTATCTGTTCTTTAGAAAAGTATCTGGAGTCCATTTTCTTGAATGATTTAATTGTTTTTATGTATGGTTTGCATTTTGTCTTTAAAGAAGAATGTGTGGAAAAAGATGTGTCTCTGTCTACCCTTTTCCTCCTTTTTAATAGCTGTCTTTCCTGAAAAAGTTTTATATCTTTCAGTCACTCCCTAGCCCACCACAATTAACCTTTCTCAGTCTAGTGTTTGCTCCCATCATTTTATTGAAATTGCTGCCTACAGAAATTGTCTGTCTTGAATGACCACATGTTAAATACACTAAATTAGATAAATTACATTATCTTCAAACAAAGGTCTATAACTGTTTTTAGCATCTTTCAAACTTTGCCACAGTGGTTTTTCCTTTCAGTAGTATCATAACATTTTATAATAAGTATTTATTACTTTTCTGAAAGCACCATGAGCTTTCCCCATTTTTATATTAATGGTATTAGAATGAGCCCCAAAATATTTTGAGTAACCACAGATATTCAAGAGGATCTCTATTTTTAAATTTTTATAATTTTAAAATAATCTCTAACCTTTCTCATTTATTCATTCACTAATTCATTAATTTATTGTGCTGAGGATTGAACCCAGGTCCTCACTTGCTAGGCAAGTGCTATCCCACTGAGCTATATCTCCAGCCCCAAGACAATATTTTAAAATTTTATCTATACTCTCTGTAAATATAGGAGCTGACTCAAGAGGGAACTTACATGGCCACAGAAATAGCCTAACACTAAAAGGAAATTGATCTCAGTTTAAACATTACAGAAATGAAAGTCTGTTGATTGTAGACTCATTTCATTTGTTAAGATTTCATATACTTTCCATATTATAGCCTTTCTCACACTGACTTCTATATGTTAGTCTCAGTGGAGAGTGACAATATGTCTTAAATTTTTATTTACTAATTTTGCCTTAGATTAGAATACCTGACCCTAAACAGGTGCTGAATAAATATTTGTTAATGAGTGAATTTCATCTGACACTGAGTCATTACTCTGTATCTGTAGGGAGGACAATACCAGTTTGGGTAAAAATAGAAGTCCTAATTGTTCATTTCATGAACGATTCCTAGGCATTTTTCACAAGAACAGTAGTATTTAAAGCACTATCAAGAAAATAGTGACTTTGATTATTTATATTCTGCTGATTCATCCTCTCATTTCAATTAGTGATATATTCATCTCTTTCTTCCTCTCAGTTTTGTTAATCCCACATCTTCAGCGTTGTCTGATCATTATCAAGCTGGTTTACCAGCTTGCAGTGGTAGTAGGTCTCAGTCAGGAAGGTACTTTTCAGAATCTTGGGTGTGGATAAGGCTCCTTACTCTTACTCCCTTATTCAGCTGCATTCTTGAATCTCTTGACTTCAGTGGGTCCTCTTCCTATGCATTGTTAAACTTAAGATTTAGGTAAACGATTTCATGAACTAAATGTAAATTTAGTATGTAGAAATTAGGAAGTGCAGCAGAGGCCCTCCTCCCTAAATTTGACAGGTAGTTGTCATTTGATTCAGGATCAGGGATTTAGCTCAGCGGTTCTGCCGCCTGCCTCACAAGTGCAAGGTCCCAAGTTTGATCCCCAGTACCAAGAAAAAGTTGGTTTAAGTTAATAATCTTTTAAAAAAATCATACACATATACCTTTAACATTGTATTTTAACATCAAACACAGAAACGCATATTATTCTTTAGTTTTTTAATTTTGGACAAAACATTTTCAGGATATGGTTTCCTTGATTGAAGTTTTATTTTTCTTATGTATACCAGATCTATAAATCATCATTTGTGAATTCTAGTTTCAATCTCTTTATTCATTTAAAAATTTTTATTAGTATGTGTTTATGATATATGATACATTCAGTGTGGGGCATTGAATATGTTGCATTTTGATCTTTTTTACTTTCTCTTTCCTTCCCTTCCCTCCTATCTTCCCCAGTTTTAATCTCTATAAAGTAGTTAGGATATAAAGATCTTTGTGAAGCAGTCTGAGTGTAAAATATTTCTAGGTGAGTGACGCCAGAGCTTTTAGAGCTTTCAGTGACAACCAATAACTGGCTGTGGCGTGTGTGCCATAGGTTTGCCAGCACTGTTCTAGGTTTTTTCATTTTCTGCTGTAAGGCTTTTAGCTGCACCCCTACACCTACTCTTATTACCACTTGAAAGCGTATGATCCAATTTTTGTGGTGTCTCTCAGTGTAGATTCATATTTATGTAGCTAATGTAATTTGATAAAATAGTGGTGGGGACAGAAATAAATATTGACTCTGGTAAACATAACTGCCAGCTTATGTACATGCAAATAGACTACTAGTCTGGAGCATTCTGTGTATTACGGGTATTAGTTGTGGGGATGATGGGCTCCTAATGGGCAGATACTAATAAGTTTTATTAATGAAGAATTTTGTGCAGCTTAGTATTTTTCTGGACCAATACTAACACTTTGAGGATTTTACTTAAGGCTTAAATTTATGTATATTTTCATTCTTTTATCTTTGGAACATATTGTTTGCTAAGTTTTATTTGCATATATTTTAGATAGAAGGAAGCAGTTATATATTACTGGAAATTAGAGATTTGATCGATAAGATGGGATGAAGTTAATCTAGGGGTAAAATCTTTTGTTGATTAGAATGGGAAGTGTATCATTAAGATAAAGAAAGTGGAGTTTTTTGGGGCTGGGTAGAGAGAAGGTCTCACTTGGTAATGCAGGTTAGCCTTGGACTCTCTGTGTAGCCCAGGCTGGTCTCAAACTCGGGGTGATCTTCCTGCCTCAGCCTCCCAAGGGCAAGGCATGCCACCACGCCTAGCTAAGAAAGTGGTTTTATAGCATACAGCTAGTTCAGCGTATATGTATGTATATAATGTAAAGGACATGTGATAATAATTACTATAACTGTGTTAAATGCCATCTCATTTAAGATATATATATATATTTTTTGGCCTCATTTTACAGATGAGGAAATTGGCTCAGATTCTAAATAATAAGATGCCATACTAGGCTGAGATTCAAAGTAGATGTCTGATTCTAACTTGTGTAACATTCTGTATTAATGGTAAAGTCATTTTTTAAAAAAAATGTTATTTGTTTTTGGGTTATATCTTTTTTAGACGAAGAAAATAGTTTACATGTGGTGGTGAATTGTGGAGAAGCATTACTGAAGAATAACACTTACTGGCCTCTTGTTAGTGATTTTATTAATATTCTTTCTCATCAAAGTGTGGCTAAGAGATTTTTGGAGGACCATGGTTTGTTAGTTACTTGGATGAACTTTGTATCTTTCTTTCAAGGTATGAATTTAATCTTTTTTATTTAGTTCACAACATGTCTAAAGCTAAACTACTAAATACTAATGAAAAGATAACATATCATTCAGGTTACACATAAATTTCTTCATGTTTTGTTATTGTGAGAACTTTAATAATAGTTGTCTGTAAAAACATACCAGAGCACCAGGAAAAATGTCAAATTATCGAAAAGGAAACAAGTGTAATTTTTTCAGCACCTCAAACCTTTAATCTAGAAATGTGATATCTGTTTTCCAAGAAAGATTTATACTACTTTAATAAAAATTTCAACTAGCATCAGGTAAAATTGTTTTGACTGTCATATATATTCAGTTATGCTATGTGAGACATTTACAAAGCGTTTCTAAGAAAACTTAGTTTGCAGAATATTCTGAAAATACTAGATTATTTTATATTTCATTTAAACGTTTATTTCTACACTATATTATTTATGCTCATGTATGCATAAAAATGGGTTGGGTACTCTGAAACGTTTTCCTTGATTTTTAGTCTGGATTCTTGCTTCTGTTTGACAAGGATTATTTGTGCTCTAATTTTTGAAAGGTATGAATTTAAACAAGAGAGAGTTAAATGAACATGTGGAGTTTGAGTCTCAGACCTACTATGCTGCCTTTGCTGCTGAACTTGAGGCCTGTGCACAGCCGATGTGGGGACTCTTATCACACTGTAAAGTCAGGGTATGTTGGGAATAGTTTTGTTAATTTCTACATTTACTTTAAAAATAATTTAGAATACATTAGTGTGTTTACTTGTATATATGTTCAGTGTTAATTCTGTTTCATGTTGAATTTGGCTTATGGGGAGCTGGACTGAGAATAACTTTTATTCTTAGGCAGGTTAAAATTTATTTATATCATTGGGTTTCCCAGCCTGCCCATGTTTCAAAGAGTCTTTGGAGCTTCATAATTCTCCACGTTCCTTATTATAGTTATATTTACCCCTTACCATTTACCTAATGCTTCTTTGAAGGATAAGGGTAGTCCTCAAGAAAGTTTACAATTTTAAGACTCTAAGCACAAAATAGATCTCACACAGCTTACACACACACACATACACACACACACACACACACACACACACACGCTGGTTTGATAGGTTTTTGGAAACTTTGGGAAATTCAGAAAAATGGAATCTCTCACCATGTTAAACTAAGGACTTGACTGGGATTTTGATACATGATCCTGTGAAGTCCAGCCTGCTAACCTGTGTGCTGGACAAGATGTTGTAGTGGAAATATTTTGAAGCCATTTGTTCCTTTTTTTCTCAAGTGACTTGGTCAACCTGTTTAAATTTACTTGAACTTTCAGTTTCTTTATCCTTTTAAAAACAAATCAAAAGGGAATGGGACAGAAAATCCTGCTCTGCCTCTCAGCTGTTCATGAGGCTCTTTTCCATTTGTCCTTTAAGTGTGTGTGTTCTTCGTGTATATTTATATTTCTCATATCAGCTACTCTTCTAAATGCGGATGCCTCATAACTATGTGATAGTCTAATTAGGTTCAAATTCTTAGCAGTTTGAGTTACTCATGTAAATTTCCTTTAGATACATGAATTTTCTCAGATTCTTAATTATGTTTGGGGTTTAAACCCAGGGCCTTGTGGTATTCTAAGTAGGGACTGTTCTACTGAGCTACATCACCTGTCTGCCCCCTTTTAAGTATTTTAAAATATTAAGGACTAATTAAAAAAGCATTGTTGCCCAAATAGCTCTAGCTCACTTTAGGAGAATATCAGACTTTTAATACTAGATTAATGATTGGAAAAAAGAAAGGTATTTCTAGAATTTTATCTTTCCTTTTTTTTTTTTTTTGATATTTGGGATTGAATTTAGGACCTTGTGCTTGCAAGGCAGGCACAGTGCCACTGAGCTACATCCCTGGCTCTTTTCTTTGCTTTTTGAGAACAAACCTTTATAAAACTTCCATCTAGTGGCAATTTTAAGTTACTGCAGAATTGATAGAAGTGTCCAGTTTTAATTCTTTGGAGCACTTAACTACTTGGTATGACAGAGAGCATTTTATGTACATTATTTTATTTGTGTATTCACAGCAGTACAGGATGTATTTATTATGCCCATTTTTACTAATGGAGCAACTGAGATTCAAAATTTACATAATTTGCTAAATGTCCAAACTAATGAGTAATAAATCATTATGCGTGTTGATTCTTTTGGGTATAGAAACATGAAGGGAAGAAAGCAGACGGATAGTCTGAACATAATCTTAAAATACACTGTACTTGCTGTGGAATTGGGCTGGGGATGTATGTAGTTCAGTGGTAGAGTACTTACCTAGTGAATAAAAGCACTGGGGTCAGTCCCCAACACTACACACAGACACACACACTGTGAGGAGTTCACAGATAATCTTTCTAAATACCCTTTTTTGGGAGCGATAATGGGTACATTAATCTGCTACATTAGTTTGATTACTTATGATAAGTTCTATTATTATTATTATTTTTTGGTACTGGGGATTGAACTTGGGTCCTTATACTTGTGAGGCAGGTGGTGGAACCATTGCACTAAATCCTCAGCCCTAAGTTCCCTTAAATTTTATTCAGTGAGAGGTGGGGAACAGAATATGTGAAATAATATTTTTATGAAGATGAATTTCATAGATGGAAACAGAAGGTTAACAAGATGATAGGTGATGCTTGGTTTGTGTGTTACAGTGGTAATAGGCAAGAATCTGTATAATGTCATGAACTAATTGCACTTTGTTACTGAGCTACCTCCCCAGTCCTTAAATTTTAAAAATTTGGATAAGATGGACATTAAATTTACCATTTTAAGGTGCACAATTCAGGGGTTTGTAATGTATTTCCAAAGTTGTACAACATTACCACTGTCCACATTGCTGTCACCTTCAAACTAAACTGTATACCTACAATTCCAAATTCCTCTTATCCCTTGGAAACCACTAATTCACTTCTGTCTATGAAAATCCTAATCTGGATTTTTCATATCAGTGGAATACTACCATATATTGACTCCTGTGACTGGCTTCTTTTACTTATGTAATGTTTTCATGATTCAACTATATTGCTGTATATGTTAGCAATCTGTCCCTTTTTATGGCCAAATAATATTTCATTTTATAATTTTGTCTATAAGATGATGAACATTTGGATTGATTTTACTTTTTGTGACTCCTGTATCTAATGCCAACATGAACATTTGCATGCAATTTTTGTGTGAACAGGAGTTTTCAATTCTCTTGAGTAAAATATATAGCAGTAGGATTGCTTAGTCTTGTGATAATGCTTTAATTTACTGAGGAATCATCTAATTAATTTTCAAAGCAGCTGCACCATTTTCCATTCTCACTAGTGGTGTGTGAAAGTTCCAGTTTCTCTACATTCTTTTAAAGAATTTACTTGATATTTTTAAAATTACCCTTTTCCTTATGGGTGTGAAGTGGTGTCTCATTGTGGCTTTGATACTACACTTGATCTTAGCCAAAAGGCTGAGAAGTGATCATTGTGTCTTTGATTTACTATTCCCTGTGATAGTGAACATCTTTTTCATGTACTTAAGCATTTGTATATTTTCATGGGAGAAATGTCTATTGGAATTCTTTATTTTTTTAAATAAGAGATCCTTGTTTTAATTTATATTTTAATTTAACTTAAAGCTTGCCTATTTCAGTGGATACATTTTACCATAAAACATTTGCCTTAGTTACTTTTTTCTCATTGCTAAGACAGAATACCCAACATCCAAAGTTAAATGGGGAAAGGTTTATTTAGCTCAGGCTTAGTAGGGGTTTCAGTTTATAATTGGCTGGCACCAAGGCTGTGTGGCTTGGGAGAGGGGCATCTCAGAAGAGATGAGTTCGTGGCTTGCACAAGGTAGCAAAAACAAGAGACCTTAACAGCATCTTTATGCCCTTCTATTTCATCCAGACTACTTAGAGTGGGTAGCATTCACACCCTTAATCCTAGTGCCCTTGAGCCTAGCATTGAGCCATGAATCAGTTCCAGCATCATACACTAGATCTAGGCAACTCTGAAAAAGCCCCACCTATGACTACATTAGGCTTTGGGGGGACATCTGAATAAAGCCATGACAGTATTATAATTGCCTTTGAGAGTACCCTATTTCAAATGGCTTACAGTTATTTCTTCCTCTCAATTGTGTTGCAAGACATGATATTATAGGCTGTTTACCATCTTCGTATGTTCTGCCCTTTTTTTTATTGTGTAAAACATGAGTAGCAAAATTTACCACTTTTACTATTTTTAGGTACACAAGACAATTACCTTAAGTACATTCACAGTGTCTATTTTTAATCATCATTGTCCATTTCTAATACTTTTTCATTAGCCCCTAAGATACTCTGTACCTGTTCAACAGTAGTAACATTAAGGAATTTATAATATTTGGGGGAGTCTCTTGAAATGGAAGCTGATTTGAGTCTATTTAAATCTTTTTTAGTTTTGACTCATTCTTTGAAATATATAAAAGGAAGCCTATGGCATTCTTTAATTTCCATATTTGTCACTGATTATTACTCTTATGAAGGGATGATTTCGTGAAGTAGCAGATATACAGATTATCTTGAAAGTATGTACATTTCACTCTTATGTATGCAATGCATATACTTACTACATATTTGATGTTGAATATATATATATATTTATATACTATAAAATTGACATAAGTTATTATTTTAGGAAACTCAAGAATATACCCGAAATGTTGTAAGATATTGCCTTGAAGCTCTTCAAGACTGGTTTGATGCTATTAATTTTGTAGATGAGGTATGTATATTTTTGATATATGTGAAAGCACTTAAGATGTGTTAGATATCTCCCTCTCCCCCTTCCTGTCCCCCACTCCCCCACTCCCTCCC